TTTTCCAAGAAATAAGAAATTCGGTCTATTATGTCATTTATAAAAATGACATTATTATTTGTAATTTATTTTATATAACATGCAGGAAGTTTGTGTACGTCAAATTATTCATTAAAAATAATAAAATCACCAACATGAATCTCAATTAAATAATTGAAAATCTTAACTGAGAAACTGAATACTTTCATTACAGACCTAAGGTTCATGTTAACTTCATGTTTATGCAAGTAGAAGACTAAAAACTACGATGAACTAAACTGTGAAAACTAAATATTTGTTAATATCAGGTGAGTGGCTTAATTAAGAAATAACCTAGATTAGGGTTTCATGTTAGTTGGCATTCATCAGTAAGACATAGCTACGATTTCGAGGAAACTAACAAGTTTTCTTTCATGTGATCCAGTGTCCAAATATGCGTACATATGTATCTTTGCAGATGATGAAACAGGAATTTTTTGTCATTACTTAATACTTGGTAGTGATTATTGTTTAAGTAATATTGTGGTGTGTGCTACTGATATCGACAGATATAAGTAGTATGTATCATAAGTCGAAAGTGAAATGTCTGGAGGCAGAACGTTAAACAGATCAAGGAAAAGAGAACGAGAACAGAGGATGATTGGTGTGGAAACAAAGAGACAATGGAGTCTGAGGCGATTGATTGACATTTTTGCAAATGAAGTATGGCTCTCAGATTTTACTAAGGGATTCTGTAATTTTGTATTCAAATACATTCAATTGTCCCTGCTTGTGTTCTCGTTCACTACAATATTACTTAGGAGGAAATAGAAGCTCTCAAGACATTAGTATTTTTAATATTTTTGGTGTCATATGAATTCAACTTAATGTCTTAAATAGTTTCAGATAATACTTACCAACTGTCGCTGACTTTTTTTATAAATGTAAAAGATTTAAACCACAAATTCAGAATGGATTCAAAGAGTCGACTGAATACATCCACACACTTATTGGAAAACTTAACTTTCAAAATCACCAACGGATTGATCGTAAAGTAACAAACTAACTAATTCAAGCCATTATATTTTATGTTATAACCCTTTAAGTTGTTTTGTCCTGTTTAAAGTAGCTACTTAATCTACAAGATATAAACACTTATAAATATTTTAGATGAATTTAAGTTAAAGTAATATGATATATCAAGTAGATTTATGAAATACAAATGAAATTTATCTTATGCTTTGAGCTTATAATTATATACTATTGTAAAGGAATGAAACACAATACATCTATATATTTCTTTTTATTTATAAGCATAAAACATTTTTGTATTCCAACTGATGTCTGTCTGAACCTTCAGAAAGAACTGCGTAAGCATTTTGTATTTAATTACATCAATGGTAGTTTGTTCAAAAGTCTAACACTAAAAATGATACTGATTATTTTCAGTTAATGTTACTACTTTTCACAGATTGAACTATTATGACTTTCTACCTGATTATTAGGGTTTAATAAATTCTCAGCCGATGAACTCTGGACAAAGTCTATAGGCAAAAACTACAAAAACCTTAACAACAAGGATAGTTTAATTATGAAAGTCAGTCGATATTAACATTATTACTAGTAACTCTAAAAATCTAAGGACTTATGAAAGATCACTAATGTTGGTTAAATCTCAGTCATGGTGTAGCTTAAACAAAGTCAATCAATTTTCAGTTTTTTTTCGTGGAATTTCTAGTAACGTTTATAGATAAACAACAAAATACGACTAAAGTTCTTAAAATTTCTCAGCACTATGAATACTCTCATATTAGGTTTACAGTTGTCCATAGTTATTTCGAAACCAATTTTACAGTCTTTCATAGTTTCTAACTCAACATTTATTTAAAGTACTTTGCGTAGATAGAGTAACAGCTCTTAACATGACTCTAGATTACGGTCCATTCAAAAGTCATAAATCCTATTTTAAATAAATTGTGAGAGTTTTTATATTCCCTTGGCACAGAAGCGTTAATTTTTAAGTAATTTAAAAACAGATGCCATGAAAGAATAATTAAAAACGTCAAGTGAAAATGATCTGAAAAATATATATATATTTCTTCAACTTTATTTGAAAACTTTAATATCAGTAGTTGCGATCATGAGTCAGTTGAAGCTAGACCATCATGTAAAACCTGGAAGCACTAGACGGCCGTTTCCTCCTATTGTGGGACTCCTCAGCAGTGCGCATCCACGACACAGGACCTATCAGTCGCGCGTGCGAGCGCTTAATCACTAGACCACTGAGCTGGCATCCAACGGTGTTAGGATGAAACGGTCGTCCAGTGCTTCCAGGTTCTCTATGGTGGTCTAGCTTCAGTTGACTCATGATCTCAACTATTGAAATCACTACAATCTCCACAAAACCCCTTTTGAAACTGAAATATGTTTATGATTATTTCTTCTGTTTGGCGGTTTAAGCATGGGCGATATAGACCAATTTCAATAATATTTCCAACTCCAGCCATAAGTTTCCACCACGATTACTGATTTTGCAATCTTTACTGAGCATTTTATTTTGAAATCAAGGCATACTTCAGTGATTAACTCGCTGTACTTTGTATAACTTATGAAGAAAATCAGTTCAGTAGTTATTAGTCAAATACAGTCTGGATGAAATATTATGACCTTCGACCAAGTAGATATGAAACATAAGATCTGCACAGATTTAGCTGCAACGTCGCAAATTTGTAATCAAATCTCAAATTTATTCTATCTGCACAATGAGTTAGTTGCATTTCAATAAGCTTTCATGAGTCTAATCTATTTTGTGGTATTTTTCCTATTTTTTCTAGATAACCTGGGGTAATTCAGCATCGAATATTCTTCTGTTTTTATTAATAAGGCAAAAGCGCATTGCAAGATTTAGATAGAGTCTGCGTTTCAAAACAATTTGCCGTGATAATGCCTTCCCCAAACACAATCAAGCGGAAAACACTACGAATAAACTGATAATCTGAAATCTTCGGATAAGTTTTCATTCTATCAAACGATGATGAATTCAAATGAACGTGATCTAATGATTATCCACTTACCGTGATATTTTTCAAACAATTCCTATAAAGTCTGAAAAAGTAGTCATTTTGATGATTGCAAAAACTTTAATGACAATAAAATTACTTTTGATGGTTGACCTATTCATTGATTAAAGACTTTTATTACGTTTCATGTAGGGCTTCGGTTGACTTAAGACAATCAAGTAATGTAGACAGTATCTTTGCTTGTTACGTCAGTTGCAAATGAATTACAGTCTGTTTTGAACTCAAAGATTTGCTCTGAACGATCTACCTTCATTTTTGTTTAGAAATCAGTGTGAATAAACGATTAAGATGTTGGTGGAATTGATTTTTTGAGAAATGTGGATTTGAGTTGGAAGGGAATGCATTATTAGGACCACTAAATATGAGCTTAAATCGATGTTCTGGCCATTACATACGCAAGTGTTTGTCCAGGATCCTCTTATAGAAGAATATACTTCAATAACGTGTTGAAATATTATTTCAAATAAATAAATTTCGCTTTTTCGAATTGATCAAAAGAAGTATTATATGAAACTTAATTTAACTGAGTGATACCTACTTCAGTTATCGTAATGATTGAATAAGCGATGTTACGTATTAGTCATATTTAAATTCTGTTATAACAATAGGACTTTACGTTTATTCTATAGAAATTTGTGATGATTATGTTAATTAACAGTCCTAGTCCGCGGATTTATGAAATCGTTTAATTGTAGAATATCCAACTAAATGAATTAATATACTGAAAATACTTCATCCATTATGAGAGAGTATTTCAATATGAGAGTAGGTGAACTTTATATAACTGAACTATCCATGCTCACTGATTATCTAAATATAGTCTTAGCACATTTTCAGTTAAATTAGACCTTTATGTTTTCTTATATACTTCAACAATTAAGTTTTCATCATACTACATTTATGTTCTCTTAAAAAGCATTTTCTTATTCAGTGGATGAAATTTAAATTCAAAGAAATGAACTGACAAATAACTGATAGATCGTCTAGATATAAGGTAATCGATCAATGATTAGAATAATTTTGATTTAGGCGCTTGTAATGTATAAATAATTAAACCTCTTAATTTATTCTTAATAGGTGCGAAATTTACTTAGCTTTCGTCTTCTAAAACTACGCAGTTTCATATTATGACAGCCGATGTTTCCTATGGTTTATCAGAAAAGCAAAGACGAATAATTTGTTTTAATAAGAAACGTAAAGTGATAATTATTTTTAGTTACATATCGGTTATTTTACAGTTTCTCAGTTATATATATATATAGACTAACTCGTAACAACACATATTTTCGTAGCTAACGCAAAATCTGTCAACGTTTCAGTTCACTGTGTTTAAAATACTTTATTTGAAGTTAGACGAAGCAATTTCCCAAAGATGAAAACTTTTTTCTCTAATTCAAGATCATTTACTTGTAAGTAATATTTCCAATCTATTGGTAGACATGTTGATCTTTTTAAAACGTCATTTAATTGATAGATAATAACTTGGTGAAAAAGCAGGGTAGAATGAATTCCACCATCAAAATTCCTAACTTATCATAAAAATGATCAGTGTTCTACTTTCATGAATTGAAATCCCTAAAACCGTTTAATTACAATCCATTAGAACATTTGAATGATGCTTATTTAGTTTGGTAACATAAAAGGCATTCAAGTATTAAAACATTTAAGATTGAACATAATTCAACAATAATCATTGTAGATAAAGTCTAGCAGTCGGATCTTGGATGCGTATTCCATCACAGTTAGAAAACGTCAGCTAGATATACCTGCATCCCTGTGTTGATGTTCACCATGGGATTCCAATCCATTTCCTTTCATTTCCAACCTCATCATGTTATTCACTTAGTTACTGAGTTCAGACAGCCATTGACTTGTGAAATGAGATCAATTTTAATTTGTATATATTGATTGTTTAGATCTTCCTATGGATATTAAAGACTATAATTGATTAGTATCTAATTAATTACAATTCACAACATCAATAAGAAGATTTAAAACAATCAATAAAAAAATGAATACTCATTATGATTTGATAAATTAATCTATTTTAAACCAGATATAAATGAATCAATGATATTCTTTTCTCAAATGAGTGATCAGGTTTCTATATTTTGATTCTCTCCTCTAAACAAATCATTTAATTTCTAGATAACAATACAACAACAAATATTTGTGTACATATATTACTAATTAAAAAAAAAGAAAAAAAGAAAAGAAAGAAACAGTCATGGTTACATGAATTGATCATATTGTGAATAGGAGTTCAAAAGAATAATTCACACACAAATTACATTGACATAATCAAAAGAAGAAAACAAAACGAAAACAAAAAAAAAGAACAAAACGATCATATTACACAATTTCACAACAGATTTACTTCTGGGAAAGAAAAGAGTTTACTTTTTTTTGTTTAAAAAAATTATTATCTCAAAACATAATTAAATCGTTTGTCTGTTTTCCAAGAAAACATACATAGAAAAGAAAAAAACCAAAAAGAAAGCTAAACAAAACAAATAGTTGATAAGTTATCAACAATTTTATGATGTAACATGTGAATAAAATTAAAAAGTTCATATTTAAACAAAATTAAATGATTTTATCCCTTACATTACTGAACTTTTTAATCAATACAAATTGAAATGTACACATAAAAAATAAGACCAAAAATATAAATAAACAAACAAACAACTTAGGAAGAACATTTGGATCAATAAAGAAAAACAAACGAAACCAATGAGAGGAACAAAACATTTTTTTATGAATATGATTATATTACTGATGTATTTAAAATGTTTAGTATAATCTATATTTTAAATTCTTTTATGTTTATGCTTAAGATTTAATAAAATATAAACAAAAAGTTAACTGTTATCATTTGTACATCATTTCTATGTACGATATATATGGTGTAGTTTTATTTATTTATGACCAAGTCTTATTTATTTTTATTCTGTTATTTTTTCTTTAAAATAAGTTTATAAATGACTAAATGTTCACAATTCAATATTCAATTTAGATAAACAAAAAATATTATTATTATTGTTATGTTTTGTAGATTCATTAACAGATTTTCTGTAAGATTTTTTGTATTCACCAAATAACACAAACATTTTAAATAAATAAAGCATAAAATTATTATATTAGTTTATTTATACAAAGAAACTATATAATAATCAAGTGATTTATGAAATTCAAATTATTGAAGACATTCAAAAAGAAAAAAAAGTGAAATAAACATTATGATTTCAATGTTTTCATAGATACTTATATCAAGTCATTATGTATTAGTAAGATGTATATTAAAAGGTGTGTGTAATTGAAGAAACGTTAGAAGATTTCATCTTACTTGAATTAGTTAGTTTGTTTATCGAATTTATAGCCTGAAAGTTGATATTTCACTTGATTGAAACTTTTTCGAGCTACATATGAATTGTTTACAAGTAAACATTTGGAAAAACAAATAAACTTACAGGCAGATTATATAGTTAATAATCTGTAAAAAAGAAATGAAAAATAGAATGAATTTTAGTTTGTTCTTTAGTATTAAAAAATGTGATTGTGGTATGTTTGAAAGTCTTGATATAGAATAAAACAACTGTGTCAATACATTAAAGTCTTAATTAGTTCTTCATTTGATGTTAGTTCATAATGAAAATTAACTAAACTATTAAGAAATAATTTCCGGAAAGTTCAGTACAATTCATGAATGACATAGTGGAGCTAAATGCACAAAATAACATAAAATGTATCAAACAACCTATTTGCATATACACATAACAAACCCTACTAAAGTTCGAACACATTTCCATTTCGTCAAGATATTAATAAATAAAAGACAGTGAAGATATTTTTCTAAAACACACTAACAACATTTATAATAATAATAATAATAATAAACTCAATTGCACGTGAGTTGCTATACAGTTTTACAATAAACTTCATTTACAATATTTCCGGTACATATACGTGAGTTTTAGTTAAGAGTTAAAAAAAGTAAATTGGCGAAAATTTGAGTGATTGAATGGAAGTTAATATTTTATTAATCACCTATTATTATCTAATATTTATATAGAACAACTGAAAAACATCAAATATAGTTATTTGCTTCTTAAATCATTCGTTTGGCTTAAATACACATATCCCTCGAATTATTGCATATAAATCCATTAAGTTTAATTTAAAGTTCAAGTTTATGTAAGACGTTTTCATTTAGGAAATTTTCCGTGGATACGGGCTTTAAATAAAATCAAAGCGCATATCCGGTTGTTTCATTGATTCCTGTATTTAAACTGTAATGACTTGTAACTTATTAATAGAGTTCTAGAAATCTTAGGCATTATTTTCTTTTAAGACATTTAGATACGCTTGTCTATATATAAGTATATATTACTAAACTGACGTTTGTTACCCATAAAAGTCAATACATTACATAACAATATTTAACGTTATTTTGTCTAGCTGTTAGGGGTGATTAACTTCTGTTTATAGAACTAACAATGTGCACATGATCAAATTATATGGCAATGTAAAGCAATAATTATAAATATTAGATATTAATAGGTGATTAATAAAATACTAACTTTCATACAATCACTTAAATTTTCGCCAATTTACTTTTTTTAACTCTTAACTAAAACTCACGTATATGTACCGGAAATATTGTAAATGAAGTTTATTTTAATATTATATATAAAACTGCACTATCCACTTCATGAATTATGTAATCCTAAGAAGCAGTTGTTGTGATTCTTTTCAAAATAAAAAATATATATCTTTTGAATAAAGTTGTACACTAGGCACAAGATGTACTGTAACAATACTCTTTTGAAAATCAAATGACTTGGTATACTAGTTTTATGAAAATGCAGTTTTGCTTCATTCCAATATAGAGAAACTTATCGAATTGAATCATATGCCATGTATTTCACATGAAATTACCAAAAAATATGTATATGGTTTAACAGATAGTTTCATTTTATGTATCCGAGTAACTGAAATTCTTTTTCATCAAAGATGTCAGACAAGAAAATGTCAGTGAAATATCTTACTTCAGTATGTCAGTGAATTGAATGTTCATCAAGATAGAATGATAATTTATTTTAGAAATTTCTATCAGAATAATGAATAGGTAGTTTATTGTAAACTACCGGAAATAAAAACAATTCTTTTACCTGACCTCCTCAATGAATCGAAATTTTTCTTAATCAATCTTGTTAGCCTTATTTATTATTATTATTATTATAAATGTTGTTAGTGTGTTTTAGAAAAATATCTTCACTGTCTTTTATTTATTACTATCTTGACGAAATGAAAATGTGTTCGAACCTTAATAGGGCTTGTAACGTACTCTTTAGAAGTAACAAGGGAATGATATCTCTAATGAGAACCAACTAGAAGATCCGCTTTACAAACAATATTTACTAATCAGTAAAAACGATGGCTGAACAGTAAAGCATCTTCTTTATCTATCTAAATGCTATTACTAAATATGTTTACCGTTATGCATGTTCAACCATCAAAGTATGATCAATTTACACAAACAAACTATTATCAGTGAAATCCATATGTTTTTTGGGAAACTCCGGATATGAAAAATCGGTGGAACCAGAAAAAATTCGTCTATCTCCTTTCAGTTTGAAACTAAAATAGATAGCAAACCACTAGATTGAAGCCAACAGATTGTTAGAAACTGTTGTAAAATCTGTATAAACTGTATAATTTTAAATACTCGGTCTTAAAAACATCTGTGGTTGGTTCTACGCGATTTCCATTCGAAGTTGCTTTCTTTTTTATTATGATTAGGGTTGTAGTTCATTCTACACGGATCCATTGCTATAGTAGTATTACTAATATCACTTCATAGGAACCTTAAAGTCGTTGATTATTAAAAGGTCAAACCTATAAGTGAAATAAAATATAAGATAAATAGCGTACAAATTTTTAAAATATCTAAGAACAAAGATGGTTGTTTTATACAAATGCAAAATTATAATATTTTAAACATACTCATGTCAATAAATTCATTGCCTTAATCCTTTGCTTTGCAATGTAGATGGTAGGGTTAAAACAGTGGTTGCCATAGAAGTGGTTTCAGTTCCTGTTCCACCACCAGAACTATCTTCATCACTTTCTTCACTCTCACTAGGAGCTTCTAAACCAGAATGTAAAGTTAGTTGAATAGCTCTTGTTAAACTGACAGCTGGATAATAAATCCCATTTGGTAAATTAGTGAATGCAATTGGACCATGTGGTTGATCATTTAAATAATAAGATAAACTGCCTCTATTACAATCCAGTCGAATACCAACTACACTACCAGCATGTATTCCACCATCAGTTCGTTCAAAATGTTCTCCATTATGTAAAAACCAACTTCGTTTATAATCAAAATAAATCGACCAACTTTTCATATCAAGACCTAAAGTTGTAGAGAAGAGAAATATAATAGAAATGTTTATATTGATGGTTTTTGTTTTAGTCAATTATTAATTCACATTATAAAAAAACTTTTTCGTTATGTTGCATCAAAATGGTTGTGTTGTGACATTTGATGTTTTGCTTATAATTAAAGTAAATGAAATTTGTCAGTTAGATTTATATTTAACAAGACTAATGTAACATATTTAAATCCATATTTAAAAAGTGAGTTAATACACCTCAATATTACAGTAAGATTTTTAATATACTACTCTATTAATTTGATCATAATATTAAAATCTAAGTAATAATTAACATCAGAAGGGGGTTTTTTGTGGATATTATATTAATTTTAATGGTTGAAATCATGAGTCAATTGAAGTTAGACCACCATGGAAAACCTGGAAGAATAATAATATTCACAAAACCCATTCTGATACTAAGTACCATATCCTCACTAGTGACTGGCTTCAACAGGTATTTCCTGGAGTTCTATTAATAAATAATCAACTTGATTTTCATTAGTAATCACACTTCTCAGTAAAGAATTTGCATCAGTGAATATTACAAGTTTGCGTAACCTAATTTGTTTATTCTTTTTTTAGGAATTACATCAAGTTCATGATGGTGTCTTGATAACAGACACTTATAGTTAGTTACTGAGTAAAAATTGATTAACAATCAGAATAGTAGTTTCTATTACGAGAAAATCATTCTTCATACTAATAGTGTTTTGAATAACAATTTTGAAAAAAAAAATGACTGAAAAGAAATTTTTCTAGAACTAGTATTTTTATGTTTAGTATTAGAATCCTAAACCTTCCTTTCATTCGTTTTGTGACTTGTCAGTTGGATGTACCTACATCTTAGTATTGTTATTCATCCTGAGACTCGAACCCAGTACTTTCCACTTCAAATCCTAAAGGTTTCATCCATCAAACTAAAAAGTCCAGACAGTCATTCAAGTAATACAAGAAAGGTTTAACTTATTCTATTATTGATTATCTAAACAGGATTTTAAACAAATGCTGATGTGAATTCAGCCAAGATTATAAATAAGATAATTTAAATCTTTTCTTTTAATACTAAAAACGAAATGTTTAATGACTAAGTTTACAAAACTAAACTGAGTAGTATATAATGAAAAACTATAAATTGTTATATTGTATCATTATTAATATTATCATCATTATTTATATAATAATCATTTGAATAAACTTGAAAACTACAACATTCATCCAAGATTGAATTAGAATGATATGATAGTCTAAAAATTATAAAAATAACTCATAAGAAACTATTTTTTTTTGTTTAAAAAATTGTCATAACTATTCAATCTTGATAGTTCATTGAAGATTATTCATATGAATTAATGAAAACAAAAATTTTCTTAGAAAACAAATAAATCGTGAAATTTTTATTTAAGTAATATGTTTTTTTCTTAATTTTTATTTTAACTTTGCATTAAATAAACAATTATTATTATTGTTTGAATTCATGAATCAATTGAAGCTAGACAACTATGGAAAACATGGAAGCAATGGACGGTCTACTGTGACACTCTTCAGCAGTGCACATTCACGATCCCGCCTCTCGAGATTCGAACAAAGGACATAACGGTCTCATGCACGAATGCTTAACCTCCAGATTACTGAGCCGATCGACATCTAACAGTCTCAATGTCTAACTTCAACTAACCCATGATATTGAGCGACACATCCATCATTGTCTTCAGTAAGTTACTATCTCACAACAGACCCAGTTGAACTCCACTGTTCACTGTTTCTCACTAGAACTTCATGAAATATCTCTTGGAGACGGTCACTAATGAGCGTATATTGATTCATAACAGAAGAGGTTTTGTGGGTATTATAGTAATTTCATAGTTGAGTTCATGAGTCAAATAAAATTAAACCACTATGGAAAACCTGGAAGCAGTAGACAGCTGTTTCATTTTAATATGGGAAACCTCAGCAGTGCGCTTCATGAATTCAACTACTAAATTGCTATAATATCCACAAAATCTCTTTCTAATTATTATTATTATCATTATTATTATTATTATCATGGAAATACTAACATAATAATGTTGAATATTGTGCAATAATAGACAATAACCATTCTGATTTAGCTTATTTAAAATTACAATCATTTCTTGATAAATAGCATACTCTTTGAATATCTCACTCTTGCAGGAGATTCGTCTTGAATCGAATAGCCCAGTGATATTATCTAAAAATGGGTTCAAATCCCATGGAGGGAATCACTTTCAATACGATTACAGATGCGGATTATTGATAAATGTCAGTCAGTATTGAAAGTAGATTTAGGAACGTTCTACTGATTCCCATTCAAGTAATTTTAATGAAAATAAGACAATATTTAATCATCAACATAATGTGACGAAATATAACTATCTGTAATAATATTTTAAACAATAGTTGAAAATTGTTAATTAAGATAGATATTTTTGTATCATGGTTTCACATGAATTCAAGATAGATATTTATGAATTGTAGAAGTACCTTTAAAGTTGTATTTTGTCATTTTTATACATTTAATCAATACTTCGTGTATTATTTTCATTTGTATGAATATTCTATTTTGTATTTATCAGAATATATTTCTGATCATACTTTATATCTGTTAACTAAATAACTTTTTAACAGCTTTCTCTCTCTTAAGTAACTGTTATGATCCTAATCTCTACACTTATCTAATTATATTTATATTCCTTTTTAAGGGAATGTCTACACATTTCAAAGTGAATTTCTTTGTTTCTATATAGATACTATACATTGTTAATGTAATAATTAAAACAAAACTATATGAATGATGGTTAAGTAATGAAATTAATTAATTTTGACAATTTATGACATTACATACTACTTAGACAATTCACATGGTTCTTTTGTGGTTTGGAACTTTTATGTTACATCATATGTATAACTATGAGTACGTACTGTTAACTATTAGACAATGATTAAATAGTTGTGTTGTACTCTTTAGTTTCCCAATACCTTTCTATTTAGTACTAATTTATGATGAAGTTTACCTTCAGTTAGCAGTTTCTAGAAAATTTATAAGTTTTTCTTAGAAGTTTCAAAATCAAATGAACAAAATTATGGATGATAATGGCGATGAATCATCTTATCTATCTAATCAACAAATTTGTTTATCTACATTTTATTTTTGATAAATTTAAGAGACTAATACAATGATTTTCACAGTCTATTATGTCATACATTATTAGATGCAACTTGAAATCACGCAACATCAATTTATCAGTTTAATTGAAGGATTCAATAGTTAAGTGATAATAATAAAGCAAAATAATGAAATGATAATAATTTCAATCAAGATGATTTAGTTATTATTGGTGATGATGACGAAGTTGATAACATAGTGGAAAATTTTTTACTATGAATGTGTTAATAATCTAATTTATTGATGATTCATTCATGAATATAAATGTATTCTCTAAGGTGTATAGTAGACATCACAAAGATCGTGAATAAAAGTAATGAAGAATTCCAATAAATACATAACATTATGATGAAAAGAATAAAGATTCTTTTCTAAAAAAAGATGGGAGCTGATTCAAACAACACCTTTAGAATTTGCAACAGTCAGTAGAGAAAAAAAGAAAACCGATAATCATAAAAAAAGAATAAATAAAAAGTGCGAAAATGGAAAGAAAAATCCATTAAACCGTTGAATATAATCACGTTGAAACTTATTTAATTCTATTCGCTTTTAAGTAAGTAAACAGCAATATGGGAAGAAAATTCCGAATTATAAAAAAAACACAACAACAACAACAACACATAAGATGAAAATGTTTTTGTAAACCTTTCTATCCATCAATAAGTTATAATTGTATACTTGAAATTATGATTAAATAATGTAATTTGTCAGTTAATAGTGATAATGTATTCACTTTATTTTCTTTCATTCTCTTTTTTTGGTTACTGAATATAAACGACAATATTCAATAGCTTCATGAGTTAATCAACTTAGAATAATGTGAAAAGAAAAAAGTTAATTCTTGAGTGTATTACATCAATGAAATACAGTAGATGTAGTTTCGTATAGAAGTGATTAGGCAAATCTGCGTGTCTAGGGAATCGATGAGTCATTATTCGTTAGAAAATATAGTCGATTGAGTTCCATATTTGACTGAATTATATATATATATATATATATGTTATAAACAACGTTGTTATTGTTAATGATGTGAAGAGAAATGCTGAATCATCGAATAAATTTGAGTGGAATCTGATTCTCATTTAGATTTTGTTTTCCCCTTGCTCAGTTCATTCATTTTTCTGTAGAAAACGAATATTTATATTATTTTTTTCTGTTTTTTTCTTCTCAGCATCAGCTTAAATCTCCTCTAATTAATTTTTGTAGACAAAAATATAAAAAACATTTTTTTGTTTTTTGGAGGGATTCACTTTTTCAAAGTCATTCATAATTATTTTATAAGTTTTAGTTAACAATTAATGAAATGAGATTTTGTTTTTACCAAAAATCTCATTTCATTAATTGTTGTTGTTGTTGTTTTTGTTTAAAAGAAATCCCTTTTATCAACTTTAAATAATCTTATCATATGATCTGATAGACGCCATAATAATTAAATATGACACTTCATACACAACAATAATGTTTCAGATTCATATTGGTTAGTTACTTATTCCTAAGTTGTTAGTAGGAAAATATACAATTGAAAAGTTATTGTTTAACTAATCTAAAATTAAGTTCAAAAGGTGTAAGCGATAATCAAGTTGAATAAATCCTATTTCGATTGACGGTTTTTCTCGGGAAGGTTTATCATATTTTATTTATATATATATCGTTATGAATAGTAAATAGGTTACTTTGGGAATGTTACGACTCTATTAAACTACCAATTTTATATCTTTAGTAACCTGAAAATGATCTATGGTAAATAAATGACACTACTATCTATAATCTGGTGTATGCTTATTCTGATAGATATTAGTAGTATGTAGTACCATTCGTAATTGAAATGTTTGTCAGCAGAATTTAATAATACATATGAGTAGTGAAACTATGGAAATAAATTAACATTCGTTTACTTTTATTTACAAATAAATAAAGTTTGATTGTGACGTAATAAACTTTAATTATTCCGTTTTTATATATAAAATTTAATAATAAGATGGTGGAGATTTGTAGCTCAGATGGATGATTTTGATCGAGTTTTCTTCTCTGAGCTGGATGGTTTGGTCGTGGAGCTTTCATTGTTCTTCTGAACGACATTATCAGCACAAATTTCAGATAGAAGTCAGATTTCTAATAGTTATATATGAGTTTACAACATTGACCGTTATGTCAATAACAAATAATCCTATTATTTTTTCCCCAGATGTATATCACTATGATACTGAAATAATCAGTAATTAATAATTTATACAAAATTGACATATTTTAAAATAAATTCACGTAAAGAAATTTTACATTGAAACCTCTCACGTCTACTGTATTATAAAATAGATAATCAAACTTACATTGACAGAATAAATAAGCCAATATTGAGTTTAAACTTTTTTTGATTCCACAAAAATAATTTGAAGGAAATTTGAAGGAATGATGTGTAAATACCATTATTGTAAAAATAGAAAAATGATAAGTTAATCTAATAGTATCAGAATGAAACAATGATGTCCAATTTACTGATATCCACATTACCAACATCATAAGCCATCATAATCTAGAAGGGTTTTTCGTAGACATCATAGCAATTTTAATGGTTTAGATCATGAGTCAATTGAAGCTTAACCACCATGGAAAATCTGAAAGAACTATAATATCCACTAAAACCGCTTCTGATATGAATTGACATATGTTCACTAGTGACTGGCTTCAAGAGGTATTTCATGAAGTTCTAGTGAGAAACAGTGAACAGTGGAGTTTAACTGGTTTGTTGTGAAATAGTAACTCACTGAAGACAATAGTGGATGTATCCCTCAATTTTGTGGATTAGTTGAAATTAGACATTGACTGTTGGATGCTGGTCGGCTCAGTGATCTGTAGGTTAAGCGTTCGCGCGCGAGACATAATTCCTGTGAATGCGCAGTGCTGAGAAGTTCCACAATAGGACGGAACGGACGTCCATCGCTTCCATGTTTTCCGTGATGGTCTAACTTCAATCGACCCATGATTTCAACTATTAAAATATAGTTTTGTTTTATCACAATTAGTAGAAAAGTTATATTTTTGTCGTTTCCTATTATTTACGTATTATTGAGTATGAAAACTTTAAACAGTAATTTATCTTACCACTTCATATTATTTTAACCAAACATCTTGATTGACAAATATCGTATTCGAGGAAAATTAATTTCAATCCCAAATGATTACTTAATATCTGTTCGAATAATTGAAACACTGAATATAATTAAATATACACTACTATAAATTACGGGTTTATAAACATTTAACGTTGTAACTGATCGTAAACCATGTATTATAAATAGATCGACAGTAATTTGTTTATTTACACATTATAGTGATAATTATTTACTTATATTCTGTAGGCTATTTTCATAATAGTCATTTACAGAATGTTTCATTCTATATTACGTAATATACCGTCAGCAAATGGTCTATTATTGTATCATTTTTACAGATCATAGAAACGAACAAAATTATTACAGATGAATAAACGATTATATAAATTAAGATGAAAATTAAAGGAAACTTTTCCATAGTATCACATCATGTTTCTTTCTTTCTGTTTTTTTTCTAGATAATTCAATAGCGTTTGTTTGTTTGTGTTACAAACACAGAAAAAGAATGACAAAAAGACTAAAAAAATTTCATAAATGTTTATGTTGTTCAAAATAGAATGTATAAAGTATACACATGAACAAATTTGTATCCTTTCAGTTCATTTGCACGTAATTCAAATAATTAGAAGGATAGAAGGAAAAAACGCCTTGAGGAGAAATTGACATAAAAAATAAATAAATAAGAAGCGGATAAACTGTGTAAGGGAGAGATACGGATAGAGAAAGAGTCACTTATGATGAAAATGGGAATATTTATTAAAAGATATATAGTGTAATAGAATTTATTCTATAATTTTACATTTTTGTATTTATCTTTAGTTATTTACGTTCAAGCATATAGTTTGTAAAAAGGTAAACAAAAACCATATTTAATTTATTATCTGCATTTTTACGTTGATATTATTTATTTGACTGTTACATTTTCCTAATATTTACAACAAAGTTTTAACGGATCTTTTGAATTGATCCATTTTTATGTTTTAGATTGGATTGGTTGAGGTTAGACATTAACACTATTGGATGCCGGCTCAGTGATCCAGTAGGTTAGGCGTTCGCGTGCGAGATTGAAAGCCCTGGGTTCAAATCCCGCGAGCGGGATCGTGGATGTACATTGCTGAAGAGTCCCAAAATAGGACAGAACGGCTGTCCAGTGCTTTCAGGTTTTCAATGGTGGTCTAACATCAATCGGTTCATCATCTCAATAAAAAAATTTTATTTTAGAATTGAAGAGAACAAATAAATACCCTATCTTTTATTATTAGGTACAGTCACATTATCATATTGATCAGTGAGTTTTTGAGTTACACAATATCGATTTATAGAATAATAATTTGTCAATTATATAACTCACCAAGCATTATTTCTTTATTACAATCATATCTAGCTATACCAAATGCAGGTTGTCCACCAGGATCACAACGATCTACAGTGAATTCCCAATAATGTACACCTCTTGATAAACCAGTTGAACCAAGAATTACTCTATCTTCAGATAATTGACTAGTAACAGTTCTATTTCCATTTGTAAGTAAAATTTCTGGTACAGAAGTATGAATATCCAAATGAAACCAAGTAACTAATATAACAAGAAGTAAATATAAAACAAATGAGTTAATTTTTAGAAAACTAAATAAAATTATATCTTTTTAAATGTTAGATATAAAACTGATTTATGTGAACGTTAAACTAATTTTAAATGGATCCGAAATCAAAACTTCGGTAGAGAAATAGCAATTAAGTATTTCGGTAAAATAAAGTTTTGTGAATTATACACAATTACGGTCTTGAGTTTCCTATGAAAATTTGATGCAAACCAATATTACACCATTCAGTCTTCTGTATTGATGGGATCTCATCAAATAAAATGCAACATAACCGTTAGTTTATGTAAATTAACATCATAATGTATTATATTTGATTTCAAATGGTAGACTTGTCATGCTGTTGAATGATAACTAGAATATAACCTATTTAAATGGTTATCTACCAACTGTCTCCATATATCTGCCATTAAAATAATCATTTCAGAAGTTCCTTTGAGCTTTTTATCCATACTTATTAAACTCGCTGGAGACCTCATAAAATAGATGTCCCAAAAATGTTCTCGTTAAGGTTGAATTAGATATATAAACTTGAAACTATAAAACAAATAAAATGTGCAAATCACAAACAGCCATCAGTTTTTGAAACCGCTAACAAACCACCTTTTTTCTCTCTTAATATGTTTGATCTGGATGGCATTTTTTATCAAGATTTTTTTACGGGATGGGGTTACCGACCTCATGCCCAGCCCTCCTCCTTTACCCGGGCTTAAGACTGATAGCATTTCTAGTAGAGCTATAGGCGGAGTTCCTTTAGATTTATTCAAACTACATCATTTGTCGTTAAAGAGAAATATTTAATAATAATAATAATAACAATTATAACTTCATAAACAAAAATTCACATTCTTAAGTATTCTTCCTATTTTGTTAAGTATTTAGTTTTCTTAAAAAGGGACGAAATATATAAATTAATGATACCGTTATGTATAAAAACAGCAAGTAATTTTATAAAATTGGAAACTAAAAGATTTACATGACATTTTATTATACTGATTCGGCATTGTTTATCGTTTTCACTTTCTTTTTTTGGCATATGTTTTTATAAGGCTTTCTAGAAAATGTCAAGAACCGGGTTTCATGTTCTTTTTGTTTTTACTTATTCTCATTGTATTTATATTGTCAAAATATACTCGATTTTTATTATGAATTCCTATGAAAATTATTCTAGTTCTGTCGTGATTTTATTCTAATGAATCCATATTATCAGTACTATGAATAAACAATTTGGTATATTTTGATAAAATAACTCGACCACTGTTAAAAATCTGAGAGAACTGTAAAGTTGCTTTAGTCTAATATGAAACTTTTCAGTGACTAAGGGATTGGATGTTTACGTGCGAGACCAAATAATCTGAATTCAACTCTATGTGATAAGATTGCAAACACATACTGAGTACGAAACCTATACTAGGACGAAATAATTTTCCAATGCTTCCTGGCTTTTAATTATGATCTATTTAAGATCAGTTCATGTTTTTAAAACTATGAACAATAGAATTAATCTTATATGAAAAAATAATAAAAAGTTATAAAACACTAAATCTAAATGAATAAAGCGCTTGTTAATGGTAGATTTATATTTCCTACAAGGTAGATAAATTAACATAAACAATATGATTATCATAAAATAGGATATTTATGTTATGATCATCACAATTTATGATATTGAATGTGAATTATTTTTATTTTATTTTAGAAAAAGGAATCTATTCTATCTTATTCAGTGCACTTTTTTATTGATACCAATATAGTTAGTAATATTGGAGTTATAGGTATCCATTCAAATTTTAGTTGATTTTCATAGATTATCAATAAAATCATAAACTTCCTTTTCTATTCTGATGTTTTATGATGATGATAATGATGGCAGATGAATTTATTTACGTTAAACTAGTACTTACGTATATATTCATATTATATGAATAAATTATATCTTCTAGTTATAATTATTTTCATTAAGAAAGAGTTAAGCTTTTATCAAATTCCTTCGTACAGTTTTGTTATTTACTGAGATTAACTTAACAAACGTCAGATCCCTTAGTTCAATGGCGAAGTATTCAAAATGATTGAGTAAAATTTAGACATCGACTAGACAATTTGTTTATTCTGATTGGCGTTCTTTTTAGCAAAGTTGGTTTCCAAGGGATGGAGTTGCTGACCTCATGTCCAACTCTCCTCCTTTACCCAGGCTTGGGACGGACAGTAGCTATAGAAAATCTACAGGCCGCGCTTGCCTCGTGATGCAGTTTGATGTGTCACGAGGCAAGCGCTTACTTGGAATCCTGAAGGGAAACGGAAAAGAGGGAGATCAAAGAACACACTGCTTTGGGAATCGGAAAGAGACATGAAAAAAATTAATAGCTACTGGAAACAACTGGAAAGGACTACCCAGGACAGAGTTAGATAGAGAATCCTGATGAGAGGCCTATGTTCCTCCATGAGGAGTAACAGGCGTAAGTAAGTAAGTAGCCAGTTTGTTGTTTTTGCTTAAACCATAATAATCTCACTTATGGGGTCTATCTGATAATGAAACAATATGTTTTACACCGATAATTTTATGAATGCAAACTATCAGCGTAAATCATTGAACCTAAATTTTATACTAACTGTGAAGAATTAACAAGGGATATTTGTAATTTTGGGGGAATTCAAATGACTGAACTCTTATGATATTCAATCGGTAACTGAATCGGTAGAATTTGATAAACACTAAAAACTAAGCAAGCGGGTTACATTAAGTTACGAAATGTCGGAAATACAACTTTTCTACTCATTTAGGTATAACAAAAAATATATCAGCTACTAAATCTCTACCCAAAGCTTGATTTATTTGAAACTAACAAGTTCAATCTTGGCAGTGCTACCTTTAAGCAACATCTTTTTGAATCAGTGATCAATAAGTGTGTTTACTAATAATCTCAATTTTGTTTACCGAACTTTTATTCTTTGTGTTAATGATTGGGTGACATACTTTTGGCGCAAACGATCATTTGTGAATTGGTGTAATTGCATGGTTTGCTGTGTGGCTGAAAGATTCCATTATCGTGTGAAATAATTCACAATCATTAAGTTGAAATCTATAATCGCTGAAAGCCTTCTAGTTTACATTCCGGACAAAATTTAAATTCAACTTGTTCACATTTTCCAGGATGTTTCACTTAAGTGTACTCAAGTCATCGTATTTCAATGATGATTTATAAATAAGTATACTACGACGAAGTCCTATTTTAGATTACTTCTTTGTACATATTATTTCTAAGACTATTGTGGTGTGTACTACTTATATCGACATAAGTAGTGTATAACACTAGTGAGGAGTAGAATGCTTGGAAACAGAAGGTTGAGAAGATCGAGGAGGAAAGAACGGGAACAGAAAGCAATTGGTATGGAAATGCAGGAACAATGAAGTCTGAGACAATTAATGATTATTTCGCGAATGAAGTATTGGAGTATAGTTTTTCTATTTTATCAAGTAACTCGGTAATTTTGTGCTAAATATAATCGGTTATCTTCACCTGTGTTCTTCACTACACTAATTAAGTAGAATAAAATAAATAGTGTTCGCTGATTATTCTAAGGGATTCAATTCAACAGTATTCAATAATCTCTTTAAAAAAATACTTCTATAAATTGGTAAGATTTTTGATAACAAGTTGCAGATGGGAACTCGGGTTACCGAAATGATGTATTAGTTATATTGTTTGTTTTAACTAACTACAATGCATATTGCTATATAAAAATCATTCGCCGATATATAGAACTGGATGTCGGTGGGAAAATAAAACGTACGGATAGAGATTTAATTGATACCAAGAGCAGGTCAAAATCTATGTCCAAATACAATATATTTTACCAATTAAATCTAGAATTTAATTCACCGGAGTATAGGTCATCTCTTATTAATTAATGAAACATTGTATAAATTCATTTCAATAACATGATAAGATATGAATTGTCATGTCCAATAAAAACTAGTTACTAAGTCACATATTTGATCGATTTACAAATAATTATTGGTTATTCCAAACGTAGATTGACACAATTAGCTAATAGTGTTTTAGCATTTACTTTTGTTAAAAGTAAAATAATATTATTTAGATATTTTGAAATATAAAGTTTCAAAGAAAGCAAGTTACATCATAAATTATTAACAAGGGCAACAACATTCTATAAATAATTATCATTTTAAATATTATAGAACATATTAATCTTATAATTGAAGAAATGACATTTTAACAAATATTTTAAACTATGGAAAGTTGTTTTTTTTCAAACTATTGTCATTTGGAAAACTATTTAAAACTGAAGAAAAACTTTTTGTAGCCTCATGTTTGACTCCAGTTTGGTTGTCTCTGATTGCTTTCGAGGTATACATGAAGAAATTTATATCCTGGTTATCGTTGTATGTAATTATCGACTTAATCTGCGTTAGTGAATGACGGAACTAAAATAAGTCAAATATGAGAAAGGATTTTGAATACTTTTATTTTTTTACAATAATTGATCCAGGCAAATGATCAAAGAATGAAGTGAAACAAAATGATGCACGGTGTAGAAGGGGTATGAGCCAACTCCATTTAACCAAGCGTTAATCGATATTATAGCCAGATAAAAATAGGTTACAGACATATGATGAATAGGATAAGAAGTGTACACACATATGCTCATATAAAAACAGTCAAGATTAATAAGTGAATAATTAACAAGATCAAAATGTGACTCAAGAAAAATGAATAAATTGGGCTGTCCAGAAGGTAGAATTAATTATATGGGCTTAATATAGTAACCGACATTACAAACTGAACAACTGAACTCTAGTTTGAGATTTTTTATCATTTACTACTTATCATCCTGTAGAATGTTGATCTTAAAATTTTTAGATCTGATTATATGCTTATTAAAGCTTATATCATTAAATCAAATGAAATAAGTAAAGTTAATCTTTCTAACTTTATTCGTGATATATCGAGAC